GTGTATTAAAAAAGGGTTAAATAAGAGAGCTACAGCGCCCCCCCAAAAAAATGTCGATTGGGTGTGTGAGCTGATGTTAAGATAAAGTTGTTCCTGTTCAGTCTGTTCATAAATATCATCGGTTATTCTTGATATTAAGCTGTTTCCGCGAGTCCTTAAAATGGACTCTTCCATGAAAACCTAGTTTAGATATTTACATTAGGTTTTTGCCTATTTGTGACAGCAAAACACAATGCATTGATAAACTAGACACTGCCCTTAAAAGTTTGGTCTAAAATTACATTCATATATACATGCATACATATATTAAAAAAAAGAAAAAATAATCCCTTTGGGCTTTTGTGTAAACCAACAAGCCATTATTGTGTAACTGACAGTGCCAGCTTTAATAATGGCGATACTAAACAAAATATATGACAGCCCCACCACAAAAGACTGTCACAAATGGTGCAATCAAATGTTTAAAATCAAATCAAAATTCAGACCGGTTTTTAAATCGGTGTTGTGATTAGATCTCAGGCAATAAGATGACTGCAGCAAACCTGGCAGTGATCTTTGGGCCCAATCTCCTTCAGAAAGAGAGAGGATCAGAGAGAGAGCTCAGCCCTCAAGCTCTGGGCATAGAAGACAGCACTGCTGTCATCTCCGTCACCCTGATGCTCATCCAGAACCACCAACATCTCTTCACGGTGAGAGCTGCGGAATGATAGACACTAGAGAGTGAAATCCATTCAATGAAAAGGTCATTTAAAAAAGATGTAAAATGATATTCCAAACACTTAAGACTTTCTTTTGTCTATATGGAGCACAAAAGGAGAAATGTTGAACCTTGTTTCTCTGCTCTTTTCCATGCTATGGAGACTGAAGCTTTCACATTTAAAAGGCCACCAGCACACAATCTCTTCTTTTGTGTTCCATGTAAGAAAGTCATGTGTGTAAATGAGGAAAGAATTTTCATTTCTGGATAAACTAGTTCTTTTTGGGGGAAAAAAACAATGGATAAAATCTTAGGCCTGCATATGATACATATATTATAACTTTGTATGCACAGAGCTTGAAAGATGACTTTCCATTAAGTATTCATATTCTAATAGAGGGAGCATTAGCTGAGTGAGTGCTTTTATTTCATCTGCAGGTGTCTGCTGAGCTGCAGCAGGAGGTGCTCATGAGCCTCATTCAGACGGACCCTGATGTCATTGACTATCTGCTGCGCAGGAAACTCAGGTCGGCTGTCTGACTGATAATACTCATCTAATACAAGAATCATATATAACGAATATGTGGGAATATGGGATTTTATTTGAAAAGTGAGACACTCAGATTTTCTCCAAAGGTGATTTTTTTTCTTAAATTGTAACTTTTAAAGACACAAGATTGTTACGTAATTGCCATCGGTGTGCATTATTTTTGTTTAACAGTGGAATTCTTTGTGGAAAAACCATATTACCCTTGATTCTACAAATCTCCACCAGTTGGACAAGCAAATCACTTCAAAATAGCTTCTTTGTGCCCACCCACTCCCATGAAACAC